GCTGTCCTTCTCTGCTCTGGTACTGTCTCCAGATTTTCTAACACACTTCTACTTTTTGCCAGCAACATTAATACAAATATTAAATATGACTGATCCCATGACGGAATCTTTGCAAATTCCGCTTTTATCCTCCCTGCAATTCAATAATTCATCTTTCACCTGCTGTCATCTTCCCTTACGCCACTTCCTCACTCGCTCGGTTACTCATACTGGAGATGATGATTGCAGAGCCATCATCAAATGAAATCGCACTTTAACATGAAATTAATATTAGTTTAACCAATAATTTTTCATGTGGCACTGTAATAACTGCCTGGCTACAGTTAGGTTGATTGCATTTTGTTTATCTAGAAATTGGATCTTTTTTGAGCAAAAGATACCATGTTAGTCTGGGATGACTGTTGGTTGTTAAATTTTTGTTGTATTTTATGCTGTTTGTCATTTACCTCTGCACCTTTCATCATCCTTTCCTAGATAAAGCTGCTTTTGCTTTTGTGGCCTGGTTAACAAGCCAGCAGCTTTCACCGAGTTCGTCTGCCCCCCCTCCTCATTCTGCTTGGAGGCTACGTTACCACTGGTCTCTAGTCACACAGTACTATCTTAACGTGACAGTTTTAGTAAAACTCATTGCAGTTTCACATACAAGTTTCTTCCAGAGGTGGAAATATTAGATCTCCTTAGTTGGCTTCACCAAGATCTTTGAGACTGTCTCTGTTTCAGCTCCATTTCCGTATCCTTTTGTCTCATGAGCCATCCTGCATCTGCCCAAAATGCTGAAATCCTATTTATGGGAAACTTAGACAAAGCATTAGTTTATTATCAGTATATATTATATTTTAAATTACCTTTTACTTCTCCTTCCAGTCTCAGTGCACACTTCATTGAAGCAGCTTTGAATTTCCTTCCTAAAATCGCATAGCCTTTGGGAACCTTAATTTTATCCCATAATATTCACCTCTAAGATACAACTTTTTGGTTGGACTAATATATTTTTCTTTCCATTATAGGCTGTTTGTTTGCTCATAATGTCCTTCTGAGTTATTTATCCAGTTTATTCTGGAGTAATTCCCCTCAAGATTTTTTTTCTCTTTGCCTGGTGTACAAATTCCAGGTAGTAGAAATTCCAAACTCTTCCACATCCAAAGAAACCTGGAAACCAGCAGAAATAGGAATATCTGCACCCTGTTATTAAGAGTAGCATTTGTTCTCCAGTCTGTATCTGGAAACAGAGAGTCTCCCATAATGATACAATTACTGGTACTACTTATATAACAATATTCGAGAGATCTCCCTGCATATCCAAATCCAACCCTGAGGGCCTACAGCAGACAGCCAGTGCTACCCCAGTAGAACCTCTTATATCACCTTTTCCCAAAGGGATTTTGTCTCAGATAGATCCTGTTTTGGATATACGCTAGCCCTTCTTTGTTCTTTGCAGTCACCAGGTCATTAGCACACAATGCTCTTCCAGATAAAAACATGCACGCACGCTCCCGAGGGGAGGAGAACTTGCTACCACACAGGTCCTAAGCCAAATGCTCCTGTTTGCTGCTCCCAGACTTCTGCTTTCATTTTGATGGCTCCACAAAAAACCACTGTCACTTCAGGACCAAAATCTAAGAAAGAACAGACTGGAGTGAAGGATGAGCAGGTTCTGGCTGGTCCGGCTGATGCTTTCCACCAGCTGGCATTGCAACATCACTTCTGGCCATACCATGGCTATGTATAAAATTCCGGGTCCCTGTCTATGGGGAATGACATGAAAATAGAACTGAGATCTCTTCACTGTTCAGCAGCTGTTTCCTGGCTGGGCTATCTCTATTTACAAAGTTCCCTTATTAAGGAACGATTTCAGAGCGTATTGATGTGTGCAGACATTGGTCATGAAAGAATCACAGAATGCTGATGGTGAAAGCACTGCGGAAACCCACCGCTGCATTGTTTGACTGGCTTTAATGGTTGAACACAGAAATTTTTTTGACCAAGTGCACCACAGGGTTTTTCATCAAGGAAGCTGTCTTGTGCAGAGTACAACCAGAGAATTTCCCTTAACAGCTAGGCATATGGACCTCCATGACAAGAATATTGTCTCTCAATACATTGCCCCATTCAAGGACATGTTGCAGACAGGTCTTCTTGTCCAATAATTCCTTTCTTTAAGGAGAAAGGATTTGAGTCTTCATAGTCCTGCAGAATTATAGAATTTTATAAATAGAGAGCTTTATGCCTTCTTTAAATGCTGAAGGGATGATATTTTGTGAGGAGGTTCTGGCAGGCTGTGAAGACCAATAAACCCCAACACATCCAGGCTAAGAAAGGGGCTCTGCTGGATGGGAAGCCTGGTCTCCCTTCAAACCAAATCCCCTGCGTTATAACTAGCCTAAGGGCAGGCACTGATGTCAGCCATAAGACAATTCCAATTATTGCCTTCCCTCCCAGCCCCAGAAGAGAGCCATTTCTCATGTAAATTCATGTTTAAAAGAAGTCATCCATCTTTCATCTGTTTTCTCTCCCTTTCTGCTGCTCCTCTGGTGAGTCATCCCAGAACTCCATGCCAAAACCTCCAGAAACACAGCAGATAGGAATAAAGCTCACTTTTGCTTGAGCTTGAGGCTTACATGCCTCAAGACAAGGCAAAGGGAAGCCAGAGAGAGCCTGAGGTAATGACGTGCTGCAATGGTAACTGCCATTTGCATCATTACACGCAACTCAACATCACTCCTCAGCCCTACAAACAACATAAACGTCTAATGAGTGCAGAAGGCATTTGGAGGGCATCATTTCTAAAACCAACAGGAAGGCTGGAAGCAGAAAAGTGAGCATATTTTGGGAAGACAGGAAAAGAAGATCTCAGGCACCCCCTGCAATCTGCAATCTTCCTTTCTATGCCTGGTAAGGTTTTGGGAATGTAGACATCTTGTTTTTAATACTGTACATGCAAGTGCATAGTGCAAGGCACCCTAGTCCTTGTCTGACCCTCAGAATGGTACCAACCATATACATCATCAATAACAATCAATCATATGCCTTGATGACTATGAGCATAATGTTACAAAGTAGAAAGACCTTCCTCTTCTGTAACAGAATTAGCAACCTATGAAAAATTCTGCTCTAGCTCCTGTAGCAGGAACTTGTGGATTTGCAGCTGTTGCCGCAGGAAGTCCAGGAGGCGTCCTCCACCATGGAGCAGCAAAGCACAAACTGACATGCGTGTATGTAAATGTGTGAGGGAGTTCTCCAGGCAGGAAAAAATAAAATACAATTAAAAAAATAAAAAAATAAAAAGGGGGAGGAGGAGACAGTCATGGAACTCAACAGAACTAATCTTTTAAATTATAAAAGTCAAGATCAGCCCCTTAGATTTCCTCAGCCTTGATACAGCAAGACCTTACAATGGGCAACTTTAAACAAATGAGTAGTCTCAATTAATAAAATTCCTACCTCTTTTCAACTGAAAAAGCAACATTTTAAACAATAAGAATGAATACCACACACAACCTTGAGTTTGCTGATTGTGGGTAGAAAGGAGTGGCATCATAACACCTTGGGGAAATATTTGGTTACTTCTCCAAGAAGTGTTAATATGGCCCAAAACAGAAATAAATACAGAAGGAATTATCTATTATAACCAGTAACTTAGACATTCAAAGAGCTCTTTACAGTAGGTAACCATAGACTCAGTTAAGTCATATCTCAATTTTAACATGCCACTTCCTACATTAGTGTTTTCCTTATATCACATAGAAGATCAGCATAGGACCAAACCCTGAAGCCTTTTCTGTCAGCTCCTAACTAAATACTATAGCTACACCATACTTCCTTCACAATTGTGATATGCCAATGTTTTATGCTTTTATTTTACATCACTGTAGTATTTTTACTGTCTAGTGATTACTTCTACACTATATCAGTTCCCACTGTACATGAAATTTCAGTTCCTACTACAGAGTTACAAGTCAGACTTTATACTGAAGTTCCATTTATAAGTAGTTCATAAAAGTTAATAAATAATTTTTTAAAAAATTGTTTAAACTATTAATCAATTCTTATAGACCGATACAGAGCCCTTCAGGGCAATAGTTTACTTACTACCTACTGTAAATGTTCAGCTGCTGTGGCTGGAAGTACCTGCAACACACGCTGCTCAAACGTGCAGTCTTTTAACCCCCAGTGATGCTTTCTCAACGCTAGATGCAGAATTCTTCAGCGAGCACACAAACTCCCGGATAACTGGTAACAGTCTCCTGCTATAACTAGACCCAAAGGCACACCAGTTATGTCTGTTTGATGGAAACTTAATAAATACACTATTGTTAATGAAGGTGGCTCTGAAGTTCATCTGAACACTGAAGCAGAAATGCAATGTATCCAATCCTGAGATCTCAACCAGGGGATTTCCCCTTTAAAAAGAACACAAAACAGCTATTCCACTGAACACAAAAGTCATTTCACACCTGTCCGTATCCAAAACGCACGGACTTTAGTCAGGGCATTAGCAAGAAAGATACGTAGATAAAATACTTTCTATACTAATAGACTATACTAATGGGCTGTATTTTGTATTGTGTTAATCTAAAAGAGACTGAAGAATGAAATTAAAGGCAGGCTTCAGGTATTAAGTTTCTTGTCGGAACCAGACTCCTGGAAAATGTAGTTGCCTTCTCTACTGCCAGCGTCTCCTCTGTACCTGTACCACCCTCACCGTCTCGTTAATCTGCAAAATCTCTGCTAGTTCTAGGGGTAGATAACGAGGCCACTAAGATAACTGCAGCTTACCTGAGGGTATTAACTGGCCATCAGGTCACAACAGGACATCTTCTCTACCCTCTCATTTGCTGTGCCAAACGGCGAGGTTAATTAGCAGCCCTGTCATGGCAGGGTAGGCACACCCAGGTGTCCCCGGCGGAGTCACCCAGCATAGGACCCACACCGGTCAGACGCATCTGTGGACATCGCCCAGCGCCGGAAAACACAGAAAACCGTGTAGAAATACAGCACTGATGGCACGCATCAGGGAGCCTCCCGTGCGGAAAGCTCCAGCCCTTTTAAGGGCTGCTTCGCGTCAGACGGGACAACTAGCTTTTCCTGACTCAGGCTGCAAACAGCAGCTAGAAGGTAAGAAGACAAGACAATTTACTTGAAATTGTTGAAAGTTTGTGTTTCGTTATGGATTTACCACGGAAGACAGTCCCCTTTGCCACCACCACTCTTCCCTTCTTCCACAGCATGGAAAGCTCCAGCCCTTTTAAGGGCTGCTTCGCGTCAGACGGGACAACTAGCTTTTCCTGACTCAGGCTGCAAACAGCAGCTAGAAGGTAAGAAGACAAGACAATTTACTTGAAATTGTTGAAAGTTTGTGTTTCGTTATGGATTTACCACGGAAGACAGTCCCCTTTGCCACCACCACTCTTCCCTTCTTCCACAGCATCTCTCCCGCCGGCGGCTCAGACGTCTCCGCAGGCAATGCCAAGCAGCAGCAGAGACTCTGCTTCCCTGCGCCTGGAGACGGAGCAAAGAGCAGCTCAGGTTTTATCAGGAGGCGTTTTGGGGCTAACTCCCACAGTTACCCTTAACCACACGTACCGCGTCCGCTCATCTTCTGCTGAGGTTTAAGGAAGCACCC